GAGGGCATACAAAAAAAAATACATGAATCAGAAAATTGAAAATGAGAATGGGATGATCAGAGAGAAGGAAGAATAATTTTGTGTAGCTGGTAATCAGTAGGGGAAATAGTCCCAGGAGATTCATTCATCAATACTACATCCCTAAATTTGACAGGCATCCCCCTTCTTCCGTGTCCCAAACACCAGATCCATCTTTTGCCTATTGTTGGCCATTCGATGTGTCTTCTCTCCTTCTCTCCCACAAATAAAGGGCTAGATCCAAGATACCTGAAGGGGAGGACCATGCTCTGAACTTCTATCCACTGTGAGGGTCATGTTGGCTGGGCCAGAGTGCCCAGATATTCAGTGAAACAAAGCCTAGATGTTGCTGTAAGGATATTTGATAAATGTGATTAGTTTAACATCTATAATCAGTTGACTTTAAGTATAGGAGATTATTCTCAATCCCCTAGGCAGGCTTCATCCAATCAGTTGAAAGGCCTTAAGAGCAGAATGGAGGTTCCCACCATCAGTTCCTGCTCCAGATTTCAGACTTGTCAATGCCCTCCATCACATAGGCCCATCTCTTGAAGTAAATCTCTTTATGTGTATATAACCTACTAGTTGTCTCTCTCTGGTAGGACCCTGCCTGATGCATCCCCAAATGTTTAATTATACTTAAAGTTTCTATCACAGGAGTTTGAGTACTTTATTAACGGTCTTGCATTTTGTCCTTATTCACAGAGGGCAATCCTGCCCCCCCACCTCAGAATGGGCATTCCTTCCCAGCGGGCAAGGTACAGAGTGCGTGTGCCGGCCTGAGTGTGTCCTGGTTGCTTGTGGGAAGTCTTTGGGTTTAGCGAAGGGAAATAGGGCAAAGAAGGTTTCAATAAAGGGGATTCCTTACCACTCTGGCCGGCCTCTCCTTGCTGAGTGATTTTTCAGGACATGATGCAAACCAGGTTTTAAACTAATGGTGATCTAGTGTTCATTGCTCTGTATGAGTTTTTGGAATCTTTTTAACCACTTGGGGCTTTTCTTTATACATGTGACTTGAGATTTTTACCACAAAATGGAGGAAGTACTGATAGCTTTACTGACAAATGTTAATTGAACCACAGACACACTGGAGTGGGTAGGGTTTCAGTCTTCAAACAAGCATGCAGTGTAGGATCTCTTTCCAAGGAATCGATGATCAGATCAGTGTGTTCAATTCAAGTGCCTGTTTCTGCCTTTTAGGCCACTGTGATTATCAATTGTGATTATTATTGATAATATTAGCATCAGGGCCACAGATGTCACTGAGGATTTGGGTGGAGTGGAGCTTAACAGCAGAATGAAGCAGCTGAACTGCAGAGTATCCTAAACGCGAACCTTTGCTTCAGTAGGGGTAAGCTCAAAACCCGGATTGGTGAGCATCTCAGCTTCATTACTACTTAAGACCATTTCTTTTCCCTGCATGTACTTCTGGGTAAAAACTCAAGCTTAGAGAATCTACTTCAGAAAATCCAAATGGGGCAGAAAGGAGTTAGGAAGAAAAGATTAAAACTTTTCTCTCTTCTCACTTGTTCAGCTAATGAATAGTAACTGATAAAACATAGATGGTCATTTTGGAGAAATTTGGGAATTGGAGGAAAGTGTGGCTCCTCCCCCAAGTAGGTGGAGAATCCTTCTAAGGCTTTGTTTAGTTGGGGTCACTCCTAGCTCACATACTTACAGATCAAACATTACTGCTCTTGGGTGGCTTACTTTTTGGGGTATTTTGAAGTCCTACGAAGTCAGCTCTAAACATACTAAACACAATTACAGAAGAAGAGAGCTGAGGCAAATAGCATCACACATGTAGGATGCCTTCCATATTTGCATCCTTTACAGTTTGAGCACCCTATGGAAATTTCAGGCTGTTTGGGGTGTTGACCTGGAACCTGAGGGAGGGCCAGGGCGAGGGCTGGTCTGCAGAGCCCCTGCCGGGCTGCCTTTCCCCGGCATTCCAGAGATCACAGGGTTCAGGAATGCCACAGTAAATGCCTTTAGGCAGCCTGGGGAGAGGACCAGAAGCCACCCTTCCAGCCCTAAGAGCTTGGTGAGGAGGGAGAGGAAGGCAGGAATGCCTTCAACAATCAGTTTCTTGGGGCACCTGGGTGGCTCAGTCGTTGGGCGTCTGCCTTCGGCTCAGTCATGATCCCGGGGGTCCTGCATCGGGCTCCCTGCTCTGTGGGGAGCCTGCTTCTCCCTCTCCCACTCCCCCTGCTTGTGTTCCCTGTCTCTCTGTCAAATAAATAAATAAAAATCTTTAGAAAGCAAAACAAAAAACAGTTGGTTTCTTGATAGTTCTGGACATTACCGTGGATACCATTGCCTCCTCCTCGCTGCACCCTCGCCGCTTAAAAGTTTTGCTGTCGGGCGCCTGGGTGGCTCAGATGGTTAAGCGTCTGCCTTCGGCTCAGGTCATGATCTCAGGGTCCTGGGATCGAGTCCCGCATCGGGTTCCCTGCTCAGTGCAGAGCCTGCTTCTCCCTCTCCTTCTGCCACTCCCTCTGCTTGTGCTCTTCTGTCTATCTCTCTGTCAAATAAATAAATAAAATCTTAAAAAAAAAAAAGTTTTGCTGTCAGAAGTGAGGGGAGGTGAAACCCATTGGCATTTGAGTCAATTGAATAAATTAATTTGCTCTCCTTAGCAGTCCAGATGAACTTACGGTAGGATGATTTAGTAGAAATAGGAAACCCAGGGAGACATCGTGACAGGCTGGCTGACTAACCACACTTGGCAAGTGTTGGAGAGGTTGGGGAGTGATGGGCGCTCATGTACGCTGCTGGGGGCAGTGTGCATCGGTGCAACCACTCTGGAAGGCACTGAGTATTATCCTATACCATTGAAGCTGGGTGTGCCCTAGGACAGCAGTTCTCCTCCTGGACATGTGTCCCACAGCCTGGAACAAGAACGTTCCCAAATATTCATGAACGGTAGGGTGGATAAGTAAACTGACTTTACACATCAACAAGGGTGGACAGACCACAGCTACACACAACACAGGTGAATCTTAAAAGCATAAAGTTGAGTGAAAGAAGCAAGTCACAAAAGAATGCACGGGGTGAGTCCATTTTGAAGAAGACGAAAATAGGCAAAAAGCGAACTGTGGATTAGGAATATAAACATAGATGGCAAGTCTTAAAAGTAGAAACATGGTTCTTAACAAAAGTCTGGATGTTTGCCTCTGGGAAGGAGGGAGGAGGATACGGTTGGGAAGACAGGCTCAGGGGTGGGGCACACTTTGTAATTATTCTCTAAACCACTTATGTGTAGTTTGTGCACATCTTTGTTTATCTCTCTCACACACAGAGATGGATGGAAGGTAGTTCTCTCAGAGTTTCTCAATCATGCCTCAATGGTACATGCCATGCCCTTCGTGGGTGGCTCTGTCTTCTTGGCTCTTTGGCCCCATCCCCTTTCTGGTCCCCCACCCCAGCATCACCATGGTGGTCCACACACCCCCTCGACCTGAGACACTGGTGTTTTCTCCCTCAGCAGCTGATGCAGGTGATCGAGGTAGAGGGTACAAATTCCCTTGCTCTCTCAACCTCGCGGGTGACTTGGAAGTCTGGAAAGCAGAGATGCCACAGAGGCCCCAGAGGAGGAGGGATAGCAGGGGGAGCTCTAGCCTGTGGTTCCTGAGCAGGGAGGGCTTAGCGCTGACCTCCCCTGGCTGCCTGGAGGGCAAACCGGCTCTCCCCGTAGGCTGTGGGGCCTGGGAAAGCCCTCTGATGAAAGCTTTCCTCAGCCACATGGACACCCTCTCAAATAGGACGACAGCCCTTTCGAGGAAAGGGAGAGGATTTGCTCTGTAACCCAGAGCAAATGAGGCAGAGTGTGTGTGGGGGGTCATCTGTCTGAGTCTGTTCATGGGAGCTGGGTGGATGTGCCCCCGGGGGTAGGGGCAGACCTGAGATTTCCACGGCAGAGCATTTCGTCCTCTGCCCCGGGGCTCCAGTAATTGGAGGCCACCGCGGCTGCCGACCGAAGAGGTATCCGCCAGAGTAGCCTCGCTTGGTGTGGCCTCTTTCAGAAGGCAGACTTGGCCTAGCTGTCAGGCAGAAGCATCTCTCTCCTCACCGTGCTCTGTTTGTGAAAGAAATCGCTCAGGAAATATGAACTGGAGACTTAACAGTAATTCTCGCAGTGCGACCAGTGCAGACTTAGGGGAAAATCTCACGGCTTCCCCACGTCTGCCTTCCTGACAGCTGAAATGCCCAAGGTGAAAATGGCCTCAGATCGAGAGGGACTGGCAGTGGAGTACCGGATCACACAGATTTGTGCTAATGCATCCCTGCTCGTTCCCAAGCAGTGTGAGGTCAAGGCCGTCTGAAGAACAGGCCGAGTAACCCAGAGGGCCAATTTGCCACCTACCCTGAACACACAACAACTTGCCTCTTGCCTTGCCATTCACATTTACAGAACATTCCAGGGCCCCACCTTGCCAACAACACACAGTTCTAAGCTGCATTTCATCAAAGAACGTCATTTTTACAAACTCATTAAGAGCTGGACAAGGCCGGGCTTGCAGGCAGGCGAAGCCTGGAGAACGACTCTTTAGTTCTTTTGATGACTCTAGTCTTAGCGTCCAGATCTCGGGCACATATGTAGAACATCCTTCTTGCCCTTTTCCACCAGTACCCTGCTCTTCCTTCTTCCCCTTCCCTTCATCCTCTCCCCCTTCTCCAAAGATGTGAGTGACACACAGCTGTACAGGAGGGGAGACAGTGGAGGTGGGCACAGCAAGGCGGCAGCTTGATTACAGCCATAGAAAAAGTGAGTTGGTGTTTGACCATTTCACAAAATACCCTCTTTTCAGGATCTGTCTGTATGTTACAGTTTTGTCATGCAAAGTCTGATGAAGATCCTATTAGAGCGCTTTGGAGAGTATTTTGGGATCATACTCTAAAGAAGTTAGGTTGAAAGTGAAGGCAAGAAAATTGTCTTTCCAGAGGACTCATCTGTGCACTGCCCCATTTTCTCCATTCAGGAAGGAATAGTTTCTCCGAGTGACCTTGACCTTGTCATGTCAGATGGCCTGGGCATGCGGTATGCGTTCATCGGACCCCTAGAAACTATGCATCTCAATGCAGAAGGTATGCTTTGCTTCCATAGGGGCGAAAATGGCAATTCTGTGCTATTTCGTGGTCTTATGGGTTTTGTCAACAGTACAGTTTGGCCTTTTTTTTTTTTTAAACAACTGAATAGGAACAGTATCATATGAAGGAGACAGTGCCAGCCCTGGGAACTCACAGATAGGGCCGTGTCCTGAGATGTCCGTGCACACGGAATCCAGGAACCTCAGGGCTCTGTGTGGCAGACAGCACTCAGACAGGAATGAAAAGACAGATGAGGGTGTTGTCATGGAGACTTTGCCACATGGCATCCAGCCTGATGGAAGACAAAGTTGTGTTTTCCTGAGAAAGATGATGCCATTGTTTACAGAGGTAAGACAGATAAGGGAAGTGACCACCTCTGCTGTACATATCTTCTGCCTAGATAGGAGCAGTTTCTCCATGTGACTGGCCTAGGGTAGGGCATGGGCAGCAGTGCAGGGCAGGCGGGTCATTTACCTCAGAAGCCAATTTCACAGGGCCTGGGGAGGTAGGTCGAGGCCCACTATCTAGTGACTCTAACAGAAAGACAAGTTGAGAAGGCTGAGAAAACCTGCGAGAATGGAAGTGTCAGCCGCATTTTAAGCGATTCAAAAACAAGACAGCATTTGAAAAACAAGCCCTAAAACCTACACTAAACTGAAACAAAATAAATTTTAAAAGGTATGAATGGCGGGCGCCTGGGTGGCTCAGTTGGTTGGGCGACTGCCTTCGGCTCAGGTCATGATCCTGGAGTCCCGGGATCGAGTCCCGCATCGGGCTCCCTGCACGGCAGGGAGTCTGCTTCTCCCTCTGACCCTCCCCCCTCTCATGTGCTCTTTCTCTCTGTCTCAAATAAAAATAAATAAATAAATAAATAAATAAATAAAAGGTATGAATGGAAATCTAGGAAACTGTCACCCAAATGTCATTACTACTTGCTATGTCTTAGTGTTTAAATTATAAGTAACTTTTATTACCTTTTTGCTTTTCGGTGTTGTCATAGTTTTCTACAATAATTGCCATATTATTTTAATAATTATGTTATTAATGTGTAAAACATATGTGGAAAGAGAAAAGGAATATTGTATTTAGCTCCATGGTCCACATTTAACCAAAATGTTAAGAAACTGGAGCTTATCCAGGAGAAGGTGACCAGAGAAGAGCGTGTGTGAGCACGTGCGCGTGCGTCTGTCTGTACGTGTCGTATGTCGGGGTCGAACCAGATTGAAAGAGTGGACGTGGCAGGCAGACAGGCTTGGGCTCAGCACGTGGCAGGAAGTTTCTAGTAACTGAAGCTGACGTTGAGGGAGAGGGCCATGGTATGAGTGGGTGAATGGGGCAGTTGGGGGCCGGTTGCCCACCTGTCAGGATGTTTCGATACTGGGCAGAGACACCTGTAATGAAGTGGGAAGTTGGGATAAGTGACCTGTGGGAGTCTGTTTGACTTAGATTTTATAATTCCACCATGTTTTGGTAATAGTTCAATTTTTGCCACTGTAGTTAGTGAAATATAGTTTCCAATGAATAAGTCAAGGCAGTTTTACCAGTCATAGTCTTGTAGGGACACATATATGTGGTGGCTTGAGTGGACTGGTCTTGTGTGTCATGCAAATGTCGTTCAGTAACTGACTTGACTCTTCCTTACAACTGAGCATGATCGAGAGGTACTGGAGGAACAGGGGACTCTCTCCTAGCACGAGCATACTACTTTTGTGGTGGGATAACAGTCAAACACGGGAAGATAATGTAAAGAAAGAGGCCCTCCTAAAAGTGAAACAAGAGTTTTGAAGTATCATAAAATAAAGTCTTGGAGAATTTCAAATGCTTTTTCAGCCAGAACCTTAAAAGTGGCAAACATATTTAAACATTTGAATGTATATAGACACTGTTTGGTAACCACCACGTTTTTCTCTTTTTAAAATGTTTTTTCTTCAGAAAAATAAGATAGTTCAGGTATCACGAGACATCAGTAGGGAGACAACTGAGAGCAGCTTTGACTCAAACAAATAGAAACAGAAGCCAATGAAACCAGAAACTCAAGAACCAAATAGTGTGGCAGACAGGAAGGAGGCCTATAACAATTTTTCAGACAAAGCAGATATGATAAGAAAACCCTAATTGGCTTAATATGATAATGGTGGACGGATGTAGTTTTCAACTTCAGAGCATTCCAAAGACCAGAGTTAGACTGTTATAAGATCTGGCTTGGAACCAATGGAAATGTTCATTATTCCTCACAGTGTCATCCAGAATATATCAAGATTGGGGGGGAGAGGGAGAGTTCTTTTTTTCTGATGTTGTTTTCATAAAGCCAGCATCTCAGGTTAAGGCTAGTTATTAGTCTTAAAGCTACAGTTTATCTAGAAGTGGTAAAAATATTTTAGCATCTGTTTTTAATCTAATAAAATGGCACCTGAAAAGCTGAAGGCCAGCATGCCGACTTTGCCTTTTGGCTGCTTTTTAAAGGCAACCCCCATGAAGGACAGGCTCTAGAATGGGGGATCTGGTCAGTAGAGCCAGTCAGCCTGGGTGCTTCCCTGCCTTCCAAGCTAACTAGCTTTGTGCAAGTGGGTTCCCCCACCTGTAAAATGGGGATGGCCACAGTGCCCACCTCACAAGGGTGGTGTGAGAATGAAGACAGATGGAAATGTTTGGCTGGATGGCTGACACAGATGAAGTCCCTTAATCGGTGTTATATTCATACAGAGTTCGGTCTTGTTTTTTATTCACTACTCTTACAGTTTTTTCTTTTAACTCTCCCAAAAAGAAATACAGAATGAATACACAGTAGGACATTTTTGCAATAGAATGGTGAAATCTCCAGACTTTAACCGTTTGGTTTGTTTCTTTGCTAAGCTCTTAGACCATTAGTTCAGCAAACAGAACTGCTCCGTGTTATACCTGGCAGCATTCTGGGCGCCTCCTGGGTTTAGTTCTACCTGGCGAATGACTGTCTCGAATCAGCAGCCTCTGGAAATCCCCTCCAGTCGAAGCGAATGTTTACCATCCTGCCTCTTAAAATTTCCTCCTGTGTGTAGATGCTTTCTCTCTCTCTCTTTTTTTTCTAACTAATCGATATGCCTGCGTGGTGGGTTTGACTGTTATTTTCAGTGAAACAGGTGAGCTGCTAGCACTGGGACTTTCAGGAGTTAAGGGGTCCCGGGGAGGTTTCTGTCTCCACCCACCTCGCCTCCCTGACCTCAGGTGAGGTCTCACTCGCTCAGGTGGGAATTAGATTATGTTGCTCTGTACTTTGGGGCCTGTTTGATCTTCCTTAATAAGTTCTGTGAAACTCTGTCTCTTGAAAGCAGGTGAATTCACGTAGGTGTGGGTTTATATGCTACAAGAAAACCAGACTCTTCTGGTGTGGGTAGCAGTCTTGGCTCTCCAAGAAACTGAACTTCCAGAGCCTGTCACGGTGGCCACTTCCATGGTCCAGTGGGGCTGCGTGCCTGCTCTGTAAACGCAAACCAAGGAAGGCTCTCTGCCTATCCGCTCACCATGGTTGTGCTGAAGGGTCAAGAAAGCACACTGTCTTGCCTCTGGGGGCTCACAACTAAAGAATTCCGAGTTAGAAAGCAGCAAGATAAGCTAAGTCTAATCTCATGAGAATCAGTTCCTCCTCCATTTTTTCTTATTCCATATAATATAGCATCTCTTAAGAAATCAGGTTCAAAGTCTTCTAAAAAGCTAAGCTCTAGAGAGTTTGGGGAAGTATATTGTTGTATGGGGAAACAAGGGACAAGGAAGTGTAGAAGAAAAAATCTAGGGGAAGGCCAAATTTCATAGTAATATAAAGGAAGGACACATTAGCAGCCAGATAAAAGGTGAAGTGGTTTTTTTCCTCCTTGACACTTCCGGTGAAATTGGTATTGTGGAATGATTGTCACTCAATTCTCCGTTCATGGTGTACAGAAGCCAAAATTATTGTTGGAGATGAAGTAAAATCCTCCTTTTAATACTTCTCTAATGGAAGAAGAAATGTTACAAGTAACAGTGACAGTGATAAATGTCCCGGAACATTGTAAATAGTAAGGCACAGTGTAGATCTTGACTATAAGTCACCATGAACTTGTATTTTGGGCAAATAGGAGAGCCCTCCTAAGGGCGTCCGGCTTCTCTACAGATGAAGTGGGAAGGTCTGCACACACCTGCTCTCTTGGTTCCTTGGCTGCACCACAAACAACGAGGCTGTTTATCCCAAGAGCCTGAGTGCATGTGATAGAAAGTGTTTTTATATTAGTAAGAGTGAAACTATAATTCATTTCCTGAGCAAGATGGGAGAAGTTATGAAATGTATTTTAGGCTTTTTACCATATTGTATTCCATTTTGAAGGAATAAATGCTCTTTAAAACTACAAATTTTATAAAAGGCAGTAGGGAAAAAAGTTCTCGAAAGCCCTTGGGAGATAAAAATGGACTTCACAGGGACAGTGAAAGGTGACCACTCATTCAGAAGACGTAAAGTAATCCAGAAGTGACATGTGGTACGGGAATTGAATCCTGTGGTTTCTTGCTGCGCACGTAGCAGCAGGTGGAGTTGGTTCCTGCCAGGGCATCTGTGGAGCCAAGGAGCTTCTGTTTTCAGTGCAAGAGAGGAATCTGCAGCTACCCTGAGTCTTCCCTGTTTTCTTCTCATGTGATAGCTTTACAGCTTACGCGATTCTTGTGTCTCTGCTCCCCCAAAAGGAATAAACTGTATTTGTGTCTAGATTTTATTACCTTTAGTTCGAATAAACAAATGGATAGACCGATGTAAATATTTAATTTCCAAAAGGAAATAAATGTACAGCTTGTTTTCTGGGTTCCAGAAATGTGAAGCCATTCAGGATAACTGGCCAGGGCTGGAACAGTTAGGGAGCCTTCCCAAATTCTGAATTGTGAAGTTACGCTTACGTTAAATGAAACCGAGCTCCTTATTTATTTATTTATTTATTTATTTATTTAATTTTTGAAACTCCTTATTTTATTTTTTATTAAATTTTTTTTTAAAGATTTTATTTGTTTATTTGACAGAGAGACACAGCGAGAGAGGGACCACAAGTAGGGGGAGTGGGAGAGGGAGAAGCAGTCTTCCTGCTGGGGCTTGATTCCAGGACCCTGGGATCATGACCTGAGCTGAAGGCAGACGCTTAATGACTGAGCCACCCAGGCGCCCCAAAACTCCTTATTTTAAAAAGAGAGTATCCACCACTTCATTGTAGGTGCTAACATCAGAAGGGTTGGTATGTTTGAAATGTTTACCCTTCAAAACGGTTTCTCTTCTAAGAGGGAATTGGATTTGATTTTAGCACACTGAAAGAGAAAGAAAACTATTTGAGCCAAATAAAATTGACACCGAGTGATTTTAGGCTTTCACATCAATGTAGGTCCACCAAAACTAAACCCCAAAGAAGCTGTTTTTTGGTTTTTTGCTCTTTTTAAAAAGAATATCCAGTGGTGGTCATTTTTATTTTAAGTTAATCAGACACAGTTTCGTGGGGTAGGTGAGAGCCAAGCTCTGGGATCTCTGCAATTTCTACAATTTCATTTGTTCCCTTGTTATCTTTTTAGCCTAACTGACTAACCGCTGAGTCTTTCTGGCTTTGAAAAGTGTTGGAAATGGGCCAAAGGCAGAACTGCTTGCAGCTCAGCCCGTCCCCAGCGGGGCCCAGGACTTGGAGACGCCTCCTCCACGTACCTGGGCCCGGCTTCTGAGCTGACTCATGTCCAAGTGCACGCCTGCACCGGCCCAGCCTCGGCTGCCTCCTGAGGCAGGGGCGGGGGAGGAGCGCGAGAGGAGCTCCGCTGTCTTCAGGGCAGAGCGGGTCAGGGCAGGCCTGGCCACTCAGGAGGCGGTGCAGCCTGACTGGTGTTTCCTCTGGGCACGTCTGTGATTCTAACAGAAAATAGGAGCTTCGGCCTCATGCAGGCCACAACGGCTTCTCCCTCCCTTCCCCTTCCAGGCTAAGCCTCCTTTTCAGGTGTTTCTCCATCAGACTGCGAGGGCCCTATCTGAGGACCCGAGACACTGGCTTCCCAGAGGCCCTGAAGCCGCAGAAGCACTGCAGAGCGGTGCACGCAGCCAGGGACAGACGACCCGGGGCACGGGTGACACGGCTCCCGTCCGCTGGCCAAAGCTGAGGTCCACACGTGGGGCCTGCCTCTGCGAGAAATACGGCCTGTGTTAAGGAACCTGCTGCCTGGTAGACACCTAATAAAGTGGTAACTAGAACTCATGGAGTAAGAGTGAAATGGGAGACAGATTTGATGGAGCTTTGACATCTTTGGTTCTTAGAAAGTGCATTCAAGCCATTGACACAAGTAACCTTGTAGACACATTGTTGAAGGAGACATTTTTGATGAAAACAGGACTTCATGTGATATTCGTCCAATCAGTGCAGGAACACAGGCCCACCTGAGAGTCCATGAGATGCACTGACAGAGGCCCCAGGGTCCCATCGTTTTTTTAGGATTTTAGGATCTGATGGAAAGCTTGAGTAGTGACGTTGGTGAGGATGCTCATTCCCCAGTGCCGGCTGACCGAGGTGGCTGTCCCCCCTGCACCTTTTCTTCATCTGCAGGAGGAAAGGAATGTAGTAATCTGACCTAGAGTGAGACCCTCTGAACAGATTTCTTAGTTCGGAGTCACACAGTGTTCTTGCTGATATTGTGGATTCTTGTTTTCATATGATTTCAGGTATGTTAAGCTACTGTGACAAATACAGTGAAGGCATGCAACGTGTCCTAAAGACTTTTGGACCCATTCCAGACTTTTCCGGGGCCACAGTTGAAAAAGTTAATCAGGTATGTAGACTCCTTGTAGAGAATTGTGCTGGCTGAGCCACGGGTGAGGTTTTATTTGTAGCCAGAGTCTTTGCCTTTGATTTTGGTGGTTCCTCATTCCTAACTTTGCCTGTCCACAGTCCTGTCATGGTCATAGGTGACCAATGAACAGGTAGCTCATCTTGATTGTCTTAGAGGAGCTGTAGGCCTCTGTGGATTTGGAAAGTTAGTTACTTGAGGGTTTCCAAAGCTTTTGTCTTCGAAAGCAAATTCACAGTTTGCATAAATAGGAACAGTTACTCTCCTGGTAAATGAGTTCCTCTTCGTGCTCTGGTTTTTTTCTTTCATTTACTTTTCTTTTCATTTCATTTCGTTTCCTATTCCCAGGCCATGTGTGTGAAAGTTCCCGATGATCCAGAGCACTTAGCTGCCAGAAGGCAGTGGAGGGACGAGTGTCTTCTGAGACTTGCCAAGTTGAAAAGGCAGATGCAGTCCCAGTAGCTACTGTCCTTCTTCAGTGGGAGTCCTTTTTGGCGGAATTACAAGCACTTAATCCAGCCTCTCTGAAAGAGTGGGAAGCCAGGTTGCCTTCCCAAAGATTCGGAATGAGACCTCCTCCCTCTGGCAGGCCACAGCCGTGGGGCTGTGGGGTCTTCTGATCATGCCCTGGCCTTGGGTGTCACAGCTGCCCTGGGTTCCCAGGGCTGTCGACTCCCTGCCACCTGGGCAAACAAGAGAGCAAATCGTCTGAAGATTTTTCCTTCTATTTTCAGTGTGATTCTGTGTGGCTACGTTTTGTAGCCAATGATTGTGGTTTCATGTTTGTTTTAATCTGTAGCAAAGTAGTTTTGTGATTATTTTCCAATCCGCTTCTGAGTACACTGTGGCCCTGCATTGATGAGGCACCTACCTTCATTTTGTTAATGCCTCTTCGGAATAAAAATTTTTGATTGCATAAAGATGTCCTTTTTCTTCTGGTCTGTCTGAGAAAGACAGTGGTTTTTTTTGTTTTGTTTTTTTACTATTTTATTTATTTATTTGACAGAGAGATAGGGAGAGCAGAAACACAAAGCAGGGGGAGTGGGAGAGGGAGAAGCAGGCTTCCTGCTGAGCAGGGAGCCCGATGCGGGGCTCGATCCCAGCACCCCGGGATCATGACCTGAGCCAAAGGCTCAACTTAACGACTCAGCTTAACGACTGAGCCACCCAGGTTCCCCAAGAAAGACAGTGTTTGATTCTGATGATTGACATATTTCAGAGTGGCCATGATGAGTGAATAAGCAAAAACTTTCTTCTGGGTCCTTTGTCAGCCATTCAGTAAAAATCCGCCAATTTGGGCTAGTGTTTCCCAAAGTGGATTCCACAGTGAGTACCCTGGGGCCCTATGGCCAGATGTGTTTGGGAAACTCCTCCTACCGCCCCACTCTTGGGCAGTCACGTGTCTACAGGAAATTAAAGGCTCCGAAATTCTACAGTAAATATACCTGTTTAACCCAACACCCCATTATCTTCTTTGACATGGAGTCTTGTCCTAGTATTAGTTCCCCAAATACTCTAGCAAATAATAGTACAGATACCCCCACCCCCCGTGAGGCCAGCATGTCACAGTAGCTTAGATCACAGGATGCTACCACAGGGCTCTCTGATAGCTCCCAGCCCAGGGACACTCCACCCTTTCGCTTTCAGGTGACCAGCTTCCCAGCTTCACCCAGTAGGGAGAAGCCTTTTCAAGGCTATGGTGTTGTGAGAACCAGTGTCCCCCGTGAAGAACTGTGTGGAAGTCGCTATTCTGGCTCCGTGTGCACATACACTCATCCATCACACTCATTTAGGCGACAACATCTTTTGAGCAGCTGTGATATCAAGCACGTAGTCCCTGCCTTTCAGAAGTTTACTGTAAGACAACAGACTAGTAGCATAAAATACGATAGTGCCCCAGAGGATCATATATCCAGGAGACCATAACTCACCACCCCTGGGTGTACCCTAGAAGGTCTCACAGGAGACAGCCTTTGAGCCAAGTCTTGAGTAACAGGTGAGAGTCAGCAAGCCTTCCTGGCAGAGGGAGCAGAGTGGAGAAGGCTGCTGGGTGCCCCGGGAAGGGGGGTGGTTCCCTGCAGCCGAAAAGAGAGCTCTGTGGATGGCTGCTGGGCCCAGATACAGGTGCTGAAGAGCGCTGGGCTCATACCAGTGTGTAGCCCTCACCTAAAGTGCTGGGGAACCTAAATGGTCTGCAGGTTGTGAGTGGCCCTGTCCTCTTGGGATTTCAGAAAGTCCCTTCTGACACCAGAAGGGACTGAACTGGAGGCGGAGGCTGTTGTGGTCCAGATAGGGGCTGGTAAGGCAGTGAACTTGGGAAGTATCCTGGGGGTAGAACTGACAGCCATCACTGACCTGAGAAGGGGGCCACCAGAGCTTCCTAAGTTGGCCGCTCTGGCACCTATGCAGATATCCATGCCATTTTATAAAATAAGGAAATTAGGAAGAAGGGGCAGGAAATCTGAATGTCTCATGTATTAAACTTCACTAAAAAAGAGAATGTAGCAAGCCGTGAAGGACGTTTTCAGCCTTGAAAACTCTGGTTGAGTTTTAGATGCTCCTTAAGCCTTGATGACTCAACCCATCACTCTGTGACCTGCTGGCAGGGTCGTGAACTGAGCAAGTCAAGCCCTCACTTTTCCCTCCAGTTTCTGGCTCCCACTCCTTTCCTTTCAACGTACCCCACCCACCCTCCTGTCTTCCCAGAATTGCCACACTGTTCTCATGGCCTGTCTCGGTCCTTCTCTTCATGGGCCCGTGGAGGCTGCCAGAGTCTCTGGACCCAGGTTTGGAGTCCCTGATAAGAAGATGACTTCACTGGGGGATGTGGGGTGTTGGTGGATGATGTGCCTGTTGGTTTCAGAGCACCAATGAGCATGGGCATTCCAGGAAATGTGGCCAAGGGAGCCATTCGGCCCAAAGCTGCAGGCCAGTACGAGGAGCAGCAAGGCAGGGCACCCTGGTGTCCCTTGGGTGTCGTGAGCGTGGAAGACAGAAGGGGGCAGCCCGGGGGCACACTCGTCTATGCGTCTGAATTCTGTTTTCCCCCCTGTGCTGTTGGGCCATGCAGCAGAGGTACACTTGGGCTCTGCCTGTAGCCGTCACGGTGTGGGACGAGGAAGGGGCACACGAGGGATTGGCCACAACAGTGACGAGAGAGCCTGTGTGTTCATTCACGGCCGCGGGACGAAAAAATGACAGTGTTCCATCTTGAGAGTGGCAGAGAGCACGTCTGTGGTCTGGAAGGAAGGCAGGACGCAGCCCTGGAAACGGGACAGAGCCAGGAATTGGTCCAACAGGGACCCAAAGGAGAACAGGTAGGTGAGCCAGCCGCACACAGAGGTCTCAGAGATACACCGTAAGGCTTACAAATGAGCATCTTCTGCTTTTCAGTTCGTCGTCCCGGTGGGCTGGCTTTCGAGGGGCTTGCTTGCTTTGGTGAGTTTAGCAAGTGTATGATTCATGGACCCGTTTTCCCACGAGCAGTCTCTTTCTGTTCCAGCAGCCCATCCAAGACACCGCATTCATTCAGTCACCTCCAGTCTGTGAGTTTCTCAGTCTGGCCTTGCTTTTCATGACCCTGACAGAGCCCTGGCCAGGTTTTCTGCAGAATATCCCCAGTCTGGGTTTGTCTGGTGTTTTTCTCATGCTCAGACCGGGATTAGGCTTTGGAAAGAATGCCCCAGAGGTGAAGAACTCTTCTTGTCACATCGTATCAGGGGCTACATGATAGTCACATGGCATCCCTGGGGATGTTAGCCTTCATCGGAAGTGTTTGCCAGGTTTCTGCATGGTGAGTTACCATTAGAAAGGAAAAAATGAACTGGAACCACTAGCCCAAGCGGGTATTGTCCTGACTGGTTTCTGAGTCATTTTCTCTGAATGGCAAAGCTGTCAGTCTCCATCCACAGTGCGGTGTTCACACAGTTCCTTGCTCGTTCGTCTCTGCTTCCAGGTGACTTCCTTCCCAAAGACCCAGTCTACTTGCCGTGCACACGAGGATCCAAATGGTCTCCTGGTTCCTCCTGCTTCAGTTTAGCAGCTTAACACTCTTGCAGGACTGGAGGAGGTACCGGCTGCCAAAGAATAGAGAGCATATATTGTTCCCACGGAAGTCAGAGAAAGATGTCCGAGACTGGGCTAGCAGTGGAGTCCCTATGATTTGTGGCTGGTTCTTGCTCAGTTTGGAGGTACAGAAACTTTTGTTAGTGCACGTGTAGTTGATGAATTATAAGATGATTTTTCTCATGCTCATAAGGCTCACAAGACTAAACACCAGAATGCCAGTTTCATTCATTTTCGATTGATTCATCAATCAGACATTTATTGAACATCTACTGTGTGCCAGGTACTGTTTCAAGAGTTGGGGATGCACTAATAAATGAAACAGGCAAATACCACCTGTTGGTCTTGAGCTTATACTGTAGTTCTAGTGGGAGAGAACAAACACAAACCCATCAATAGACAAACTACAGAATATGTCAGAAGGGGACCAGTTATGTAGCTGAAAATAAAGCAGAGGAGAGTAATAGGGAGTACAGGTAGTGTGTGTGTGTGTGTGTGTGCGTGCGCACACACGTGGGTATAAGTGTGCACACATTAGGGAAGTAATCAAGGAAGGGTTGATCAGAAGATAGCATTTGAGCAGAGACCTAAAAGAAGTGAGGGATAGAATCATGGAGCAATCCAGAAAAGAAGGACACCACAGGGAGAAGGGACAGAAGTGTAAAGGCCACGCAGTGGGAGCTGAGCCTGCACAGCCAAGGCTCAGGCTGGGGTCCACGTGGCTCGGTGCTGGGAGGGAGGCAGTGGTCAGAGATGAGGCACAGGGGAGGGGGGGGACTCTTGAAGGCCAAGATGAAGACTGGCTTTTTCTTTGCACAAGGTGGGAAGCCAGAGAGCTTTTTTTTTTTTTTGGTGGTAAGAATACTTTGTATCTTAGCATGAGATCTACCTTCTTAAATTTTTAAGCGTACAGTATGGTATTGTTAACTGCAGGCACAGTGTTGTATAGCAGATCTCTAGAACTTACTCATCTTGCATAACTGAAACTTTACACTCATTGAACAGCAACTCCCCATTTCTCCCTCCTGCAGCCCCTGGCAACTGCCATTTTCTCTGCTTCTATGTGTTTGACTATTGTAGATACCTCACATAAGTGGAATTACAACATTTTTATCTTTGTGACTGGCTTATTTCACTTAGCATAATGTCCTCAAGATTGATCCATGTTGTAGCATATTGGCAGGATTTCCTTCTTTTTAAGGCTGAATAATATTCTGATGTATGTGTATACCACATTTTCTTTCCATTCTCCTGTCAATGGACATTTGGGTTGTTCCCATATCTTGGCTATTATGAGTAATGCTGTAATGAACACAGGAGTGCAAATATCTCTTTGAGATTCTGATTTCAGTTCTTTAGATAAATACCCAGAAGTGGGGATTGCAGGATCATAGGATAGTTCTATTTTTAAATTTTTGGGAAAACTTTATGCTGTTTTTCATAGCGGCTGCACCATTTAACATTCCCACAGAAGGTGCACAAAAGTTCTAATTTCCCCACATTTTTGCCAATACTTGTCATTTTTTTTTCTTGATGAAAGCCATTCTAGCAGGAATGAGGTGATATCTCATTGTGGTTTTGATCTGTATTTCCCTGATGATTAGTGATGTTGAGCATCTTTTCATAGACCTGTTGGCCTGTCTTTGGAGACATGTCTATTCAGTTCCTCTACCCATTTTTAAATCAAATTATTTGTTTTGTATTATTGAGTTGTATGAGCTTCTTACATTTTTGAATATGAATTCCTTAACAGATTTTGGTTTGCAAATATTTTATTCCATTCTATAGGTTACCTTTTCACTCTGTTGATTGTTTCCTTTGCCGTGCAGAAGTTTTCAGT